TATGCTAATGGAAATGATGTTCTATAAAAGGTGTAGTTTTTACTGTTAAACCTGTTTCACACAATCTACTCCATGCCTTCTGTCTCTGATTGATAGTTTAGAGTTTGTATTAAGTCAAAGGTCTTTTAGTGTAATTGTACAAACATCCAGCTTCAGCTGGTGCTTCACGTGTCTTTCTGCTGTCAAATCTTGACTGATTTTGATCAAGTAAAGGTCAGAATAACTGCAGTAATATCTCCAGATGAACTTTTACTGGACTGAAGCAGCTCAGCTTTACTTGATTCTCCATCAATCATGTTTTAGAGTCTCAAATCTGATCCTCAGGATCTTTTGAGGAGCGTTTGTTTCCAGAAGCTTTACTTTCACTGTTCCTCAGCGGAGGAATGATCTTCACAAGCCTCCAGAACATCTCACATCTTCTGAGGAGCTTTTATTTCTTCAGCTCTCAATCAGCATTGCATTATATGTTTGGAGCATTTCAATCTCATTTTACTAAGACATATTATTGGAGATAAATAGTGATGACTGATAATTATATCATTTTATGTATCTGCTATACTGTTATAAAGATCTCATTGATTTACATTACAAGCATCAGAATTTCATCATATAGCCTAAATATCAGCATCTGCACCAAATTGCATATTTTTGCTCGGTTTGAGTCTCTGAATAAAACTGAGCTGATTTTTTTTCCTCCATATTCTCACTATGTCAGACTATATGATCCATAAAAGCCTGATGGATTAAATATGATGCTCAACAAAAAACATGCATATTGTCTAAGGCTCAATAATCTGTTTCATAAAAAAAAAAATAAAAAAAATTCAGATCGTTTTGGAAGCAAAGAGACACTACATTAAGACTTTAGTGCATGTTGAGGTTATTGTGTGTGTGTCTGTGATGTATAGCGGGCCGCAGATCCTCTGAGAGAGTCATAAACAGGACTTTCCTCAAAGCGAACCCTCCTATTGTACACTAGATGAGCTCTCATGCATGAAGACAATTGCTCCGCGCTGATAGAAGACATGCTAGAGAGTGTCAGACGTGCCAGGATAGGAGGCTGGAAACAGCTTCACTAGAGAGAGCAGCTGCGCGGCGCTCAGAAACAAAGTGGACAGCGTCCAAAACCACTTTACCAACTGGCCAGCTGGGACGAAAACCACATCGAGCCGGCCAAGCTGTGTGACATTAGTCCAGGAACATTGGTCATGAGGTGCGCTGGACATATCATTTGATAAAGACTTAAGAATAAAGCCCATGAGCCATCTGTAGAGCCTGAGTGTAAATGCACATGCTCTTTTTTTAGGATTGAGCATTTGAGTGCTGGTGACAGATGTTGCAAAAAGACTCAAAAAACAGGTGAAAAATGACGCTTTTAGAAATCAAAAGAGTGTTTGATGCTACACTTTATGTGTTGCAAACCTCGAATGATGCTGCCAGTAAAACATCACGGTGCTCAAACGTGGTTTCACAGCAAAGAACCAATCATAAAAGGCCTCTTTAAATATGCATGTGCTCTGTACAGTAACAAAAACATCCACAAAGTGTTTCAATGCACCATCTGAGAGATTTCAGCAATCCTAGATTTTTTTTGTTTTTGTTTTTGTAGTGTTTCATGAAATCACTTTTCTTTCCTCGTGTGAGTTTCTGTTGAAACTTTAAATATGCACAATGTAAAAAACTATTTCTATTTCTATAAGTTGTAAGTAAAAATTATTGAAGTATGTTTTACAAAATACTGTTTCAGTCTTCAACATAAGAATTTCATGTTTTATTCAGTGTTACACTGAACAAAAATGGTTTATGATTTATAATCTTAACTCAGAAATTGCTAGTGTATTTCAGAAATAATTACAAAGGAACAACAGAAACAACACATTGAATTAAACATGACATTTTGAAGTAGAAACTGAAATAGTATTTTCTTCTAAAACATGGTACAATAATTTTACAACTTACAAAAATCATTATTTGCAGTGTACTTGCTGTTTCTTTGTAATTACTTCTGAAATTTTCTAGCAATTCCACAGTGAAAATTGGTTCAAAGTTAATCCTACAGCTTTTTTTAGCATATATCTACTAAATGTCTAATGTAATAATAGACTAGTATATAAATTAAATCAGATCAGATCAAACAAAGCAGGACTGCACAGCCTTTTACTTCCATTGCATGGATAATTCAAAACATCCTCTTTTGTGATTGACAAAAGTGAGACGGTCATATACAGAAAAAAATATATATATTTGGTGTACTTTCACTCAGAAATTGCTGGTAAATTGCACAATTAATTGTTAAACGTATAATCTTTGCTGTATTTAAAACTTTGAAAAATAGGCCTTTATATTTTTGAATGTGCATGTTGAATGACATGAGGGACAGTAAAGCTGAACTATTCCTTTAATATTGCTTTTGCAATATTAATATAAATATATTTTTTTACTCTTGATTTATAGTATTTAATGCCACAACTGTATACATGACATTTCATAGACAAAGGTTTGCTGGAAAGATCAGAGAAGATTGATACATAGAACCATTTACAAATAGAGAATTATTAAAACAGGCTGCATGCTTGTTATTGCTGTTTTTGTCCAATTAATTTTTATTAACTGCATACATATGCACGTTTGATTGCTAACCCAGAGTTTACAAATGTGAAAATGTCACTTTGCAGATTAGATTTTTTTGCAATTTTCTTTTTCTAAATCCCATTTCTTGGCATTGGTAAATATTATATTTTCTGCAGAGAACCCACATAACCAGACTTGATGCAACCAAGTTGCAAGAGCAGCCTGACAACAGAACGCATTTGCACTGTATGACGAAAAATATTTGGACACCATTCTAATGAAGAGGCTTTTCTGGGCTCTTTAATGCCAATTAACCTGAACTCCACTGAACACCTTTGAGATCAACTGAAACTGAATGTGATTAGATGTTATCAGATTAGGTGATACTGAATGCATCCAAACCCCTGCATCCTTGATCAACATGCAGTGTCTTTCTGGAACTTATTGCACAAGGGTTTGAACCCAACAAATACTTTTGGCCATGTTGCTTGTAAACACAGATGGTGTTCAGATGAACTTTCATTCCTCAGCAGAAAACTCGAATCTCTCTGGAGAAGTGAATGGTCAAAACTTTTCCCACTCGAATTATTTCAGGCATATGAAATGTTTGAAGACATTAAGCTGCTCTGACAGTGTTGCTGCCGGTGTTGATTTAAAATGAGTTCAAATAAACACACACACACAGACACGCACACACACTCCTGAGCAAATACATGTCAAATGAAAACACTGCTCAAGCATTGTTTTATATCTGACCGGGAGCTGTTTTATATGTTGGAACGGAATTCAATCTAAAGCACATAATGCTGCCAAAAGCACTTTCTCATAACACATATTTAGTCACAAATACTCAAATCATTTACAACTTATACTTTAGAATTAATACACTGCAGTTTTTACCTTAAAGAGCTATTTCTGCCTGATTCAACCTATACAAATTTGTTTTGTTGGTATAAAATGAATGCTTATAGGTTGGTTCAGTGATGTTAAATAATATTTCTGACTTGAATAAAACCATTTAAGATGTTACTATTTTTAGATCATGTTCGTTTCTTTTTTTTCCAGTGTAAGAATATTAACTTTAAAAAAAAAAAAAAAAAAAAAAATTCCCAGG